CCCTGGTCCTCCATTTTCAGAGGATTTCTTTTATTTGTGATACCCTACTTTTCTTCTTTCTGGCCCTACCCTGTCCTGGCCCATCCACAGCCCTCTGTCATAGCCTATGCTGCCTGCTGCCAGCTGGACTCAGAAGACAGGCCCCTCGCCGGCACCATTGTCTACTGTGCCCAACATCTCACCAGCCCCAGCCTCAGCCACAGTGACATCGTCATGGTGACTGCTGCATGATGAACAGGGAGAAGCAAACAGGTTGCAGGGTAGGGGGCCAGGTTACTCAGTTTCCCATAAAGTCAAAGAACCCACAGAGGATGGAATAGAAGGTGCCTCAAGCTCTAGGAAGAGCTGATTGGGCAGAGGGGTATAGAGTGTTTGGTCAATCCTGCTGCAAATTTGGCCCCCTTACTGGGCTGTCATTTGTCCTTAGGCCACACTACATGAATTGCTACATGCCTTAGGTTTCTCTGAACAGCTCTTCAAGAAATGGCAAGACTGCCCCTCAGGATTCAGCGGTAAATGAGAGGAATGAGGTTAAGGACTTCCCACGATCAACCAGAGGGAATTCACTATCTCATAACCTCCTTCCTTCTAATTTCATGTCACCCTTCCTAAGTTTTCCTCTCCTCGTATTGCCGTCTTCCCTTTGTGCACTCAGTTAGAGAGAACTGTTCTACAAGGCAACAAGTGACAAGGCAAGATGAGTGGGGACAACTGCTTCTCACCACCCCAGCTGTTAGCCTCAGCCTGGCCAAACACTTGGGAGTGCCGGGGGCTTCACTGGGTGTTCCCTTGGAAGAAGAGGTGAGAATGAGAACACCTTGGGGTAATGGAAGAAAGGAGTAGCCAGGTAACAACCAGCCATCTGCCACCTCCTCCAGGAGGGCCTTTTGTCCTCACACTGGGAGGCCAGACTACTCCAGGGTTCTTTAATGACTGCTACCTTTGATGGAGCCCAGCGCACTCGACTCGACCCAATCACCCTCGCTGCCTTCGAAGACTCAGGCTGGTACCAGGTCAACCGCAGCGCTGCAGAGGAGCTGTTGTGGGGCCAGGGTGAGAAATAAGGCAGACCTGCAGAGAGGCACTCACGACCCAAGTCAACTCTGGGGGAAGTGGGAGGCTGGAGGGGTTTCTGTTGCTGATGTATAATTGAAGCTATGAGGATAGCTAGTGCAGAAGGATGTTTGGGCTTCATTTGTTGAGGGCTCTCTTTCCTTCTCTTCTCATCTCTCAAGCAGGATCTGGCCCGGAATTTGGCTTGGTGACCACATGTGGGACTGGCTCCTCAGACTTCTTCTGTACTGGCAGGTGTGTGTGCTGAGTGGTTAGGGGACTGTACGGCGGTCAGTGATCCTAGTGTCACTCTATCATCCATTCCACACAGTGGGCTGGGCTGCCACTACCTGCATCTGGACAAGGGAAGCTGCTCCTCAGACCCCATGCTGGAAGGCTGCCGCATGTACAAGCCCTTAGCCAATGGGGTGAGTAGACAAGAGAGCAGACAATGAAACTGAGTGGTTCTGGAAGGGAGTCAACTTCAAAGGCATCAGAACAAACACTATTCTACCTTCTGACCTGCCCTTCAGAGTGAATGCTGGAAGAAGGAAAATGGATTCCCTGCTGGGGTGGAGAATCCCCATGGGGAAATCTACCATTCCCAGAGCCGTTGCTTCTTTGCCAACCTCACTTCACAGCTGCTCCCTGGGGATAAGACCAGGCATCCTTCTCTTACCCCACACCTCAAGGAAGCAGAGCTCGTGGGTCGCTGCTACTTACATCAATGCACAGCGAGGGGAGCTTATAAGGTGCAGGTGGAGGGCTCACCTTGGGTCCCATGCCTTCCAGGAAAAGTTATACAGGTGGGTACCATAAGAGGAATAGTTGCAGCATACTGGCAAAAAAAAGTTGGGAAATACTTGTTTGGTGGTACTGCCCAACCTGTTTTGCTAAGTACCCACTGAGTCCAGACTCTGACCTAGAATACATTTTCCTTAGAAGACTTGAACAGATAATCAAAGCAAAACCATATCCTGCTACATATTTCCTTGCAGATACCTGGGTACTATGGTCTTCTCTTCTGTCCCCGGGGTCGGCTGTGTCAGACTAATGAAGCTATCAATGCTGTTACTTCCCCACCTGTGAGTCTTTCAACCCCAGATCCACTATTCCAGCTCTCTTTAGGATTAGCTGGGCCTCCAGGCCACTCTCTGGGGAAAGAACAGCAAGAAGGGCTGGCTGAAGCAGTACTTCAGGCTTTGGCGAGCAGAGGTGGCACTGGCAGGTAAAAACCTGAGTATTTATACAATGGGTCAAGGTAAAAACTTGAGTATTTATACAATGGGTCAAGGTAAAAACTTGAGTATTTATACAATGGGTCAAGGTAAAAACTTGAGTATTTATACAATGGGTCAAGGTAAAAACTTGAGTATTTATATAATGGGTCAAGGAGAATCCCTAAGTCCTTTACTTGATGACTCTCCTCTGAAGACCTTTTGTTCATCCCACTCTTAAGCCTGCACCTGTTTCATGACATATACTCTGCCAGGAACTATACCTCTATTAAAATATTCAAATGTCCATTTAGGGCCGGGCGCGGTGGCTCAAGCCTGTAATCCCAGCACTTTGGGAGGCCGAGACGGGCGGATCACGAGGTCAGGAGATCGAGACCATCCTGGCTAACACAATGAAACCCCGTCTCCACTAAAAATACAAAAAAATTAGCCGGGCGTGGTGGCGGCGCCTGTAGTCCCAGCTACTCGGGAGGCTGAGGCAGGAGAATGGCGGGAACCTGGGAGGCGGAGCTTGCAGTGAGCCGAGATCGCGCCACTGCACTCCAGCCTGGGCGACAGAGCGAGACTCCGCCTAAAAAAAAAAAAAAAAAAAAAAATGTCCATTTAGGTGCTATTTCCACAGCCCATCAATTACCACTAGCTTGGTGTTTACTGTGCATATGTGGAAGTCTCCTGGCTGCCAAGGGCCTTCAGTGGCTATGCTGCACAGGGCCCTGACTCTGACTCTCCAGAAAAAACCCCTAGAAGTGTATCATGGAGGAGCCAACTTTACCACACAACCCAGCAAGTAAGATAATATTCCAAGTACTTTTCTTTCAAATCCATGGAGTCCAGATGTTTGAAATTAAATTTATTAAGCACTCACTCATGTGTATATTGTCCTAGACAGGGTTGCATTTCAGAGAACAAAGATCCCTAACTAACACGATCATCCAGTCATGTCACTACCTGGCTCCCTTCTCCCTACAATAACACATTCCCCCATCTCTAGGACACAGGGATCAGATCTTAGTTCCACCCCCCTGCCTTTTTTTTTTTTTTTTTTTTGAGACAGGGTCTCACTCTGTCACCCAGGTTGGAATGCAGTGGGGTGATCCCATCTCAGCTCACTGTGGCCTCAACCTCCCTAGGCTCAAGTGATTCCCCCACCTCAGCCTCCCAAGTAGCTGGGACTACAGGTGCACACCACCATGCCAGCTAATTTTTGTATTTTTGGTAGAAACAGTTTCACCATGTTGCCCAGGCTTGTCTCGAACTCCTGAGCTAAAGCAACCCATCCGCCTCTGCCTCCCAAAGTGCTGGGAGCCACTGCCACCACTCCTGGCCCCCTTCCTTTCTTAAGCACTGTTAGGGATTGTGCCTAGCTACCTAAAGACCATAGACTGACTCTTCCCCTAAGCCACTTCCCTCGCCGCCAAGTTAGCTCTTCTTCCAATAATTTAAGATGCTAGAAGACTTAGATCTTGACCTTATTTCGACTTTCATGTTCTGTAGTCCCTCTTAATGATTTCCTGTTTAGCCTAATGCTTGGATGAGGTGAGGTTTCATGAGCTCTATCTTTAAGGGCAAAGCCCCTTAGCCAGATGTGGTGGCCCGGCATGCGCCTGTAGTCCCAGCTACTTGGAAGGTTGAGGTAGGAGAATCGCTTGAGCCTGGGAGGTTACGGTGAGCCAAGATCACACCACTGCACTCCAGCCTGGGCAACAGACCAAGAAATTGTCTCCAAAAAAAAAAAAAAAAAAAAAACACACACACACACACAAAAGGTAATGCCCCTTTATCTACTAAGCCTAGGCATTATTCCAAGCCAAATATTACCTTCTATGTTCCTAGGTTGCTGCTTACTTCGGACCATAATCCCTCCATGACCCATCTAAGGCTGTCCGTGGGACTCTGCCTAATGCTGCTAATCTTTGTGGGTGTACTGGGAACCACAGCCTACCAGAAAAGAGCCACTCTTCCTGTGAGACCATCTCCCTCTTACCATTCACCAGAGCTCCACGGCACAAGGGTCCCAGTTAGAGGAATAAGGGAGGTGTGATGTTGCCCAGAACATGACAGGGTGTAAGAAAGAGAATCATTTCTTGGGAGACAACTGGATGGAAAATCTATTGTGTATACTTAAGTTCTACTTTCTTTGGAATGCCTTTCCCTGGATATCAATTTTATATAGCCTGGCAAAGAAAAAAGGGGTGAAGTTTTACAGTTTTAAAGATCCATTCTTTATTTTGGTACAAAAATAAACTGTTCAACCTGTAAATTGTCACCTGTTTTAATATTGTTATGAAGCAAACTTACAGAATAGGAACACCTGCTACCAGTTCCAAGAGTATCACATGCATATGCCTTAGAAAAAGGCCAGGTATGATGGTTCATGCCTGTAATCCCAGCATTTTGGGAGGCCAAGGGGAGAATGGATTGCTTGAGGCCAGCAATTCAAGACCAGACTAGAAAACGTAGCAAGACCCCCATATCTACAAAATAATTTAAAAATATTGTGGTGCGTGGCTGTAGTCCTGAATACTCAGGAGACTGAGGCAGAAAGATTACTTGAGCCTAGAATTTGAGGTTACAGTGATCTCACACTCACTGATGATCATGCCACTGCACTCCAAACTTGAGCGACAACTCATCTCTTAAAAAAAAAAAAAAAAGTCATTGTGATTTGGATTCAGTGTGGAGAAAGCAGCAACTAATTATCTCCCTCTCCTGATTTTTCATAATTTTATTAAATCATCACTGGGAAAACTAATGGTTTGGGTATCACACAATTACACTAGAATCTGATAGGAGTGGTAAAACCAGCCAATGGAATCCAGGTAAATTATAAAAATGCCACCTTTTATTGTCCTGTCTTATTTCTGGGGAAGGAGGGCTCTACTTTACACACTTCATGAGCCAGCAGTGGGCCTGAGTTATAATGTGTAGGTTCTTTTTGGTTATAGCTGCAGAAGAAGCCATCAAATTCTTGAGGATTTGACATCTCTTGGAAAGAAGCAAACTAGTAGACTGATAAGCGGGATTGCTTAGATTGATAATATTTACAAATAGGAGTCCAGTTGACATGCTATTACTGTTGAAATAACCATGCCTATGCTGGTCAGTGAGTTCAGTCAGCTGGTCTGAATACCAGTTCCAGAGCTTTAGATGACACATTTGAATTATCATTGTAGAGAGTCATGGCCTTGGCTCCATCAGCTATGGTTATCTTCTTTGGTCTGAATGCCTATCAGTCCTTACCAGCTGTAGCAGCCACTGCTTGGTAAAACTTTGCCACGAAGTCTGGCTCACTGAACTCCAGCTGTCTGACAAATTCATTGCGCTCCTGCTCAGCCCAGCCTCGAAACCACTGATCCCAAAGATGTAGCTGACACTCAAAGATAGAAGGTGGTCGGTCTGCCCCAGACACACTAAGCTGCTCCAGACTATCCAGCAATGGCTGTAATTTTTCTGGCACTGCCTTAGCTACCAGGTCCTCTAGGAAACGTTCACGCTGGGGACCTGACCAACTGGCAAACCAGTGAAGAATACACTTCATCTCCTGGGAGGTGATGTAAGACATCGGAGGAGGGGAAGGGTTAGTATTGTGTGGTACTGAGGGTAAGAGAGATGGGAAGGATAGCGGCATTGAAGAGGATGACTCCAGTGGCATCCTGAAACATAAAAGCACTGTTATACGCTCTCCAGGTAGAGCAACGAAAATACAACTTTCAAGCAACAAGACATCTTACCACACTCAATTAGCATCTACAGAGAAAATTACTTTTTATGAATTCAAAGACCCAAAATTAATAAAGTCTTTTATTTAGATTATCCAACTACCTTAGAGAAGTCACCAAAAATAACTTCGTTTCCTATTTGCCTGCCTTTTTCAAACCCATTCTTCCCTACCCACTGTCACCCTCCATCTTTCTTATAAAGAACCTAAAAATAACCAATATATTTCTTTTTTTTTTTTTTTTTTTTTTTTTGAGACGGAGTCTTGCTCTGTAGCCCGGGCTGGAGTGCAGTGGCCGGATCTCAGCTCACTGCAAGCTCCGCCTCCCGGGTTTAGGCCATTCTCCTGCCTCAGCCTCCGGAGTAGCTGGGACTACAGGCGCCCGCCACCTCGCCCGGCTAGTTTTTTGTATTTTTAGTAGAGACGGGGTTTCACGGTGTTAGCCAGGATGGTCTCGATCTCCTGACCTCGTGATCCGCCCGTCTCGGCCTCCCAAAGTGCTGGGATTACAGGCTTGAGCCACCGCACCCGGCCTACCAACATATTTCTTGTTCACTCTCTCCCTCTTACTTCTATGTGCCAGGCTGGGTAAAGAAAAAAACAATGATTAACGTTGGTCCATCACATCTTCTCCAAAACGAAAAAGCATACATTTTAAAATCTAGTACGTGCAGCTGGTCAAGGCTGATGCTAGTTGTTTTGTAGCTATCAACAGTGGGGGAAGAAAAAAAATTATTTATGATGAAAGAGGTTTCAATGTGCATATAAGCCTCTGAAATATGCCAAGAACTTCATAACATTTGTTACCTCCTTACATTTCCTGTAAAGCACCAGAAAAAGTTAAAGAGCAGAGTAAGAGCCTTGCTCAAAATAAGGTAACGCAGTAAAAGAACCAGAAGCCCGGGTGTTTGAGACTTTAAAGAGAGTCCAGTTGGTTTGTTGGCTTAGAGATCTAACAACTGTTACACTACTTCATGACAATCCATGTTTTTAAACAATTGCCCTTAATATTTAGTATGGGCCAGACACAGTGGCTCTTTCACTTCCAAAGTAATCTCAGCACTTTGGGAGGCCGAGGCAAGAGGATAGCTTGAATCCAGTTGTTCAAGACCAGCCTGGGCAACATGGCAAAACCTCATCTCTACAAAAAATTTAAAAACTCGTTGGGCGTAGAGGTGCCTAACTGTAGTCCTAGCTACTTAGGAGGCTGAGGTAGGAGGATCACCTGAGCCCGGGAGGTTGAGGCTGTAGTGAGCCCTGATCACACCACTGCACTCTAGCCTGGTTCAGAGTGGAATGACCCAGAGTGGAGTGACAAAAAAAATTTTTTTTTTTTTAGTATGGCATCTATTGGTGCCTTGCTATTTATTTATTTATTTATTTTTGAGACGGAGTCTTGCTCTGTCGCCCAGGCTGGAGTGCAATGGCGTGATCTCAGCTCACTTCAACCTCCGCTTCCCGGGTTCAAGCAATTCTCCTGCCTCAGCCTCCCGAGCAGCTGGGAATATAGGCGTACGCCCGGCTAATTTGTTTGTATTTTTACTAGAGACGGGGTTTCACCATATTGGCCAGATTGGTCTCCAATTCCTGACCTCAAGTGATCCGCCTGCCTCGGCCTCCCAAAGTGCTTATAGGCATGAGCCACCGCGCCCGGCGCCTTGACATTAATTTTGCATCATGAATGCAACGGAAAGATCAGCCTATTTGACTTCAATAGTTTTCAGTCTCTTAAATCTCTAACATATCTCTTAAATCTCTAAACCATTTGTCTGTGACCTATTTTACTGTTTGTGTTTCTTCTGCATCAAGTTGGAGGATTGCTAGTGACAAAGAAAGAAGCCCCTAAACAATACGAGTTCAAGTACCAAAAAAGTTCAGGGCGCTTGCATTTTTCAGTTCTTGCCCTACAGGAAGCAGTTCCTCCAAGGGAACTTACTCTCTTCTTCGGAGAAATGGAGAATTTTCTTGCCACACGGCTTCCAAGGCAAACGCAAACTCAAACTCAAGTTGAGCGTCATAAATCAGTTCATAGTCTGGGTCTGAAGACACGGCGCTGCCTGCCTCTTCCCCACTTTGGAGGCCACGGAGCTTGTTATTCCGATTCCGCCCCCCTCCACAGGCCCCACCAAAAAAAAAGCCTAAGATGGGAGTGGCTGGGATTCAGAGGACAGAGGGCAGAAGCTGTTTGCGTTAAGAAGTAGGTGGCTTGCCCTATTAGGATAGTCCGCAAACACCGAGTCTGACCCGGCCCATAGAGGTACTTCCACCCCGCTTACCTCCCCTTTTCTCTCGGAGGGCACCCGAAGATTGTCAGGAGTCCTTAGACTCCAACTACCGCTGCAGCTTCCAAATTTCCTGAAAACCCTAAGCTGGGCCAGCCCGACAGCCCACGCACTTCCGGCCTCGGACCCGCCCCAAACACCCAAGAGCCCCAGCGCCTCATCTCTAGGTCCGGAGATAAACGAACATCTCCGATTATGGTTATACCAGAGTCGAGGGCTTCCGAATATATTCGATTCAAAGCTTCGGCAAGACGAAGAAAACCGAGCCTGAAAGCAGGGCGAGAATAGGGGAGCTGCAGGGCGGATGGAAAGAATTGATTGGTGCCGATGTGGAGACGGAAATATCCGAGGACATCCGGAGGAAGCCGGGGAGTTCTGAGTGGTAATCGAGGGGTAGAGTATGGCAGTGGGCGGGGTCATCTCGGTACGTTCGAAGGGCGTTGGCGGAAATTACCGAAGATGCCCGAAGCCGTCGGGACGGACCCGAGTACCTCACGCAAGATGGCGGAGCTGGAGGAGGTGACTCTGGACGGGAAGCCTCTTCAGGCGCTGCGGGTGACCGACCTGAAGGCCGCACTGGAGCAGCGAGGCCTAGCCAAGAGCGGGCAGAAGAGTGCCCTGGTCAAGCGGCTCAAAGGGGTGAGGAGTCGGCGTTGCTGGGGTGTCGGAGGAGAGCGGACCCGGTAGAGACGAGCCTCTGCCGCGGCGCAGGCGCAGTATCCGGGCTCGGCGCGAGCTCGCTCAGGCCGCCAGCGCGAGCCTCTGGATCCGCGCGCACGGTGGTTGGTGAGGTTCGCGCTGGAATGGCGATCGCGCCGGTTCCCGCCTTAACGGCAGCAGCGCGAGCCCAAATGGGAGGGTGTGCACTACTCTCCAGGAGTGTCTTAAGCTCCTTCCTCCTTCCCCCACCCCCTCCTTGTTTGTATCTGTGGTTTCGGCGCATGCGCTGCAGAAGGAGTTAAATCCCACTACAACCTACGGCGTTGCTGGCCTGAGGGGGGCGAGTTGGGCTGGGTCGGAGTTAGGGGTATAGTTGCGCGGAGGGGTGGATGGGGTTGGTATCGGTATCTGCAGGAATAGGATTGGGGTAGGGTAAAATGTCTGCTCGATTAGATGAGGTGAGATGAAGAGAGACCTTTATGTGAAGGGACTTGATGAGAGAGGTGTCTAATTTATAGGGCATCTAGTGGCAATTTGGGTAGTTAAGAGTTTGGTGAATATTGGTGAGAGAGGCGAGGCAGGTTGATACATATTGGGGATTTTGAATCAGTTTAAGTAGATTAAGGTGGGAATGTCATGAGGTAGGTGTAGATCGATTCGAGTGTATAGGTTTGGTTTAAAGAAGGGAAGATGAGGATGTCTTGGTTTTAATTAGAGTTCAATAGGATACGTGGCAGGTAGTGCAGATTAGGTCTGGGTTGGCTCCAGGGTTGAGTTGGCAGACCGTTGCTTATACAGAAGTTGATTGTGTGTGTGTGTGTGTGTGGATGGACGGACTAGGTTAGACCACAGTTCACAGGGTCTCTGGTCATTTTCTTCTGTAGCCTCCTCTTTGAAAATTTTGTAAATTTGGTAAATCTAGGTGCCACAGTACTGGAAATTATACAAATTGACTCTAGTCCTGGGTAACCCTTTGACCAAGTAATTCCATCAGGCAAAAACCAGGAGCCCCATGGCTGCTGGTTTGAGTATTTTTAAGTAGTTTTACCTGCATGATCAGATTTAGAAGGGGCACTTGGCACAAGTGCAGAAGACAACAGGGATTTTAGTACTGGTTCTATTACTGATATTGTGACATAGCCAGGTCACTGATTCTGTGTGCCTGCATTTTATATCTGTACGTTTAGTAACAGTAACCGTGGCTACCTTTAAGGGTCTTCTGGTGATGAATGAGAACAGTGTCAGTAAAGGATTTTCAGGTCCCTGGAAGAGGAATACAGTTTAATTGTGTGTATTTAAGTCATTGCATTTAATTAAGAGGTTGTGGTAGAGGTGGGAGTTTTTCTTTTTTTTTCCTCATCATTTCTGACTTTTACCCTTCTCTATACCAGGCTCTAATGCTAGAAAATTTACAGAAACACTCAACACCCCATGCTGCATTCCAGCCAAATTCCCAGGTGAGAAAGGTTTATTCAATGGAGTGGGCTCTTTGGATATACAGACACATGGCAGGACGTGGTGTTGTATATTTCATGCTTAATTCCTCACGACTATTTTCCTAAGTTCCCTTGGTCAGAAATGTTCTCAAACCAGGACAGTTGAATTCGAATCACCCAGTTGTATACAAGGGCCTGGAGTAAAGAACAGAATCAAAGGCGCTATTAGTTTATAATAATTGAAATGGTATGTGCAGAAAGGTGTGGCTTCCATTAATTACGTGTAGTACAGAGATCTGAAGTCATTTATCTGCCATGAATTTAGGAAAGGTAGTTGATGTCTTTGAGTATAGATATGAAGTAGACCACCAATGTGACAGTGTAGGAAAATAGTTGCTAATTAAGAACTCTTGGCCGGGCGCGGTGGCTCAAGCCTGTAATCCCAGCACTTTGGGAGGCCGAGACGGGCGGATCACGAGGTCAGGAGATCGAGACCATCCTGGCTAACACGGTGAAACCCCGTCTCTACTAAAAAATACAAAAAATTAGCCGGGCGAGGTGGCGGGCGCCTGTAGTCCCAGCTACTCAGGAGGCTGAGGCAGGAGAATGGCGTGAACCCGGGAGGCGGAGCTTGCAGTGAGCTGAGATCCAGCCACTGCACTCCAGCCTGGGCGACAAAGCGAGACTCCGTCTCAAAAAAAAAAAAAAAAAAAAAAGAACTCTTGTTGATGTAGATTTACCAAGGATTCAATCCTGTGTAAGTCACCCACCATTACTAGTGTTAACTACTAACTCAATGCACTTATTCATAAGCATTACTAATAGCTCCTTTACTTAGGATAAGAAACTTAACCTTTGGAGGCCTTGGTTTCCTCCATTTCCTTATCTGTAATATGAGAAAAAGTCAAACTAAACCCATGGGTTTATAACTGCTCTCGGGGTTTTGTGGAGCTGCTTTGGGGAGCTTCTTAGGGGAAATAAATACCTTTTTCTCAAGTAAGCAAGGCTCATACTTCTCTCTTAAACTAGATTAGATCTACTTTTATCCGCTTTGACAATTGAGTTTCTGCATAAGATGTCTTTTAAATTATTCCACAGTTAAAATCCAAAAATTATAAGGCTGCACAGTCTCTTAAAGTTTCTTTCAGTTTTTGAAAATCCCCTCTTTATAATGTGTCATATACTTAAAGGAAAAATCCAAGTCTTTGTTAAAGCAGTGGTGTGCAGCCTCAGTACTAGATGAAGTCCCAGGATACTGTGGAAAACAAGAGAGCCCTCCTACTCCCTTGTTATCACCTCATTAAGCTGTAAGTATCATAATCTAGCCAGCTTTCAGAGGTTCAATTAAGTACTTTAACAAGCATAAGAAACTGCATAAGTTAATCAGCTTAATTGTATTCTTTTTACCCATTGCATTTTAGTCTTTGAAGCTTTGCTTTTATTAACACAGGGGTTTTGCAGCAAACATGCCTATTCTGTAATACATGCAACCCACCCTTAGGCAATGTCCATTGAGTGCCAAGAGGCTCATTTCTACTTTAGTTGAAAATAAACATTTACTATGTTTAGGAAACATGACTTAATGACTAGAAAGTATTCAGGTTTTTTTTTGCTTTTTGGGGAGTTCTAAATAGGACTTGCTAAGCAAGAAGGTTCTAGGGAGGAGAACTTGTGAAGAGAAAGCTGGAGGTCAGAAGAGCAACTTGGGAATCTATTACAGAAAAAAAATAGGAAAAGGCATAAGCTCCTGTTACCAAGGATTTCCTTTCACCTATACAAAATGGAGTTATAACTTTGTCTAAATGCTCAATGGATATCCCTTTTCTTAGTCTCTTAATTTCATGCTTTTAAATACTATACTTGGATTTTGGAGACCTTTGATAAAATGTTTCCTGGATATGAGGCCAGGCATTGTGGCTCACACCTGTAATGCTAGCACTTTGGGAGGCCAAGGCGGGTGGATCATCTGAGGTCAGGAGTTTGAGACTAGCCTGACCAACATGGCAAAACCCCGTCTTTACTAAAAATGCAAAAATGAGCTGGGTATGGTGGCACATGTCTGTAATCCCAGCTACTTGGGAGGCTGAGGCAGGAGAATGACTTGAACCCGGGAAGCAGAGGTTGCAGCAAGCCGAGATCACGCCATTGTTCTCCAGCCTGGGTGACAGAGTGATACTCCACCTCGAAGAAAAAAAGAAATGTTTCCTGACTAGGTAACGATTGATCTTTTGGAGGAACTGGCTTTTTTTTTTTTTTTTTCTTGAGATGGAGTCTTGTTTAAACCCAGGCTGGAGTGCAGTGGCACGATCTCGGCTCACTGCACCTACCACCTTCTGAGTAGCCAGGATGACAAACTCACACCACAATATGCCCAGCTTTTTGTATTTTTGGTAGAGATGGGTTTCACCATGTTGCTGAAGCTGGTCTCGAACTCCTGAGCTCAAGCAGTCTTCCCACTTCAGCCTCCCAAAGTACTGGAATTGCAGATGTGAGCTACCATGCTTCAGTCTTGATACTACCAAAAGGAAATTTTAGATTACCCTTTAGATAATGTTCCACGTAATCTAGGAATTTAGCCTAAAAGGTATAATTACAGGAATTTTAATTTAAGGTTATTTGTGGCTGGGCACGGTGGCTCACACCTGTAATCCCAGCACTTTGGAAGGCTGAGGCAGGTGGATCACTTGAGGTCAGGAGTTTGAGACCAGTCTGACCAACATAGTGAAACTCCGTCTCTACTAAAAATACAAAAATTAGCCAAGTGTGGTGGCACACACCTGTAATCCCAGCTACTCAGGAGGCTGAGGCAGGAGAATCATTTGAAGTCAGGAGGCAGAGGTTGCAGTGTGCTGAGATCACGCCACTACACTCCAGCCTGGGCAACAGAGTGAA